TATGTTTATCAAAACAGTGTAACCATCATCCCTTTCGGCCATGCAATCTCCCTTCGACAATCAACGCTCGCCGTTCTCCCCAACAACRTTTTTTGAAATAGMTGTATACAATKTGACTGTTCTGTGTTACAGCAATAGTAATAAATAACTTATACCTGGTCAGCAAGGGATAACAAAGCCATGATATGGCTATATGTTGGTGTTGGACATGATTGTAACTGCTGTGAGATGAACACTCCAGTCTGGTGGCAGCAGCCAGCAAAGTAAACTTGTAATGATTTACACATTGAGCTAAGACACTGGTTTCCTGATACATAAAAAATATTTTGTTATAATCATGAACAATACATATTAAAGATCAAAAAACATAATTATATATATGACCAGTACAAGTAGCTTGGGATTTTTTGAGGATTTTCTGTGACTTGGGGTTTGAGTTTACCACAAATCAACCAATGACTAAATGAGTTTGCAAAAAGCTTCTCCTCTATATGATGTTATAATCATAAACAACAATAAAAAGATCACAAAACAACTAATGATGACCATTAGGTTGGAATTTTTTGGGATTTTCTGTGACTTGGGGTTTGAGTTTACCACAAAATCAATCAATGACTAGATGAGTTCACAAAAAGATTGCAGAAAAAAATCCAAACAAACTTCAAAACCTGTACATGTACAATTATAGAATGTTATTTTCTTACCAACAATAAAAAGTTCCTCATAGTAGAATGTAAATCCCGATAGGCTAATGCAATGGATAATTCTCTGGACAATCTATCATGATGATTAATAAAAGGCATATTAATACAGATGTAATTATGGGATTATTAAAAAAATGAAAACGAAAAAAAAAAAACATAAATAATGAGATATTAGGTCACTAGCATCTTTCAGGGTTCCCACTGCTATCTTGAAATGTAACTGAGATGACTGGTGATATCTGCATAGGATACTATATTTTTTTATGTCAATATGATATATTATATGCTTACRTCAGTAATATATGGTATGGTAACTGCTGGCGTTTGTGATGGAGAGAAGTACTCCCCGATACCATTGATGACAGTCATCAGAACTCTGAAAAACACAAATACTGCTGATGACTAGTTTTAGACAAATACTGAATTCTGCTGTGACAGACAATTCAATCATGTAACTGCTAGCTTGTAGTAATTTCATCCAACCAGCCAGTAGAGCGGATTTCGTATGAGTGGGACACCGTTACCACACGGTTACCACACAGTTACCGGACCTGGCCTGCACAATTTTGGTGAACCAATGGGGCACTAGAATTTGGTTACAGTACGATTAAAGTCACAGTACAGTACCGTCCGTTTCCCACTCATACGAAATCTGCTCTAACATSTACTGTACATACCTTACAAGTGCTGTTAGTTTTGGTAATGATGTATATGGTGATGTTACAAGAACCATGCTTAACTCCTACAATGGCAAAAAACAACAAATAAATGATTATCTTAAAAGGACAACACTTGATTTTAGGTTACTGGGCTTCCTGTGTCAGAAGAAACATTTGGAAATTAGTGCCCACTCCTTCCCAGGCCTCATGACAAAGGAAACCCAGACTGAAGGCTAATCAAATGAATAAATAATTAGCTACTTAATGAATTAAATGGATAAATTTAAATACACAAATAAATGAATAAATGAATAAATAAGTAAATGAAAAATGAATGCAAGAATGAATAGACAAATGAATAATGCATGCATGAATAAAACTGATATCAAATGCATTACCTCAGCATAGGCCTCCATATCTTCCAGAAATTGTCCCAATAATGTCAAAGAAAAGGCAATGTCGGATGCCCAGTAYGGATGAAGCTGAATCAAACACTCTGAAAATATTCCATGTTTCTACTAAGGTTTCATGTTCAAATAATACAAAAAATAATAATACAGAAAAAACAAGTATTACCTGATGTATGCCTAGTTAGTGATTCTTGTTGAGAAGTATCGATATGCCATCCMACTAGTATATCTACGGTATCCTGCATTATACGAAAGCAAGAAGTATGAGATTTTTTTCACTGCTTTTCAAATTTATGGAGTAAACAAATTCATTCTTGGTTTAAAAAATAAATCATTCATTTAAGTGTGCATATTAGTGTTAACCAAACATCAACAGAATTCTCAATAGCTTCTATTGTTAAGTATATTTTTTAGTTATTCTCGAAGTATTTTTGGCTGCAAAGTCACCAAAATCTACTGTATCAAGATGCCATAATAGTATAATGAATCCTCATGCTTTATCATTCTTTAGAAACTTACCCTGAAGTAGCCTGCAAATGCTTGTGGGAAATCAGTTGCAATAGGCATAATGACACTAAGTACAGCATAGAGCAAATCTAATAAATGAAAAAATGGGAAAATACAAAAGTGAAAAAATGAATTTCTGTTCCCATATATGTCTTCATATACTAATACGTACCTGGAGAATCAACATTTTCAAGAATAATCTGAAGAAGACTGATCACATTCTGCAAGATACAGGAAAATAGGTATAAAATTTTACCCCTGAACTAATAATGATCATGTTAAAAAGTCATTTAAAACTCAATTGAGCAGGAAAACCTACCACAACAATTTCTGCAAAACACTGATGACTTCCTTCATTTTGTATGATCTACCATAAGGAGAAACATGTTAAAGATATATGTAATTATAATTAGAAAATTAGAGATATTATTCATCCCTTCATATACATGTAACCAATGAAAAATARCCAAAATCCCTATACATAATATTGAATTTAAGTTAGAAAATTCTTCAACATTACAATGTACCTTTGATAGCGCATTCAATAGTACTGTTTTTATCTCATCTGAAGATGATGAATCCAGTTTACTGAA